AGCTCAGCTGAAGGTGCCGAGTTCAGTCTTAGGTGCGGGTGGGTGTAGCCCACCATCAAACAGGCAATCTTGTTACACCAGCTGAGCCATCCTGCCACCTGTTGGCAGCTCAGCGACAGCTCAGCTCAGCCACAGTGTCACTGGCCCATGTGGGAATTGAACCGGCGGCCCTGTTGCTCAGAGCTCGTGTTCTTAAGCCAATTCTTAACCAACTGAGCCACTCGGCCAGCCCTCATTTATGTTCTTTAAAAAATAGGAGAATGTTTCATGTGCAATAAATAAATAAATAAATAAATAAATAAATAAATATCTGTTGAATGAAAGGAGGGAAAGGCAAATCTACCTCAATAGTTCACAATTTGGGGTTCCTGAACCCTTAATGATTTGTAAAAATAAACACTTGTTTTGGTGATAATCATGTCCCCCCTCCAAAAAGATTATGTTGGAGTCCTAACTCCTTGTACCTTATTTGGAGATAGGGTCTTTGCAGAGGTAACTGAGTTAAAATGAGGTCATTAGAGTGAGCCCAGATCCAGTGTGACTGGTGTCTTATACAAAGGAAAAACCTGGATGCAGAGACAAACATGGAAGATGCTATCTTTTAAGAGACACTGGAAGAGGTCTACAAGCCATCTACAAGCCAAGGAGAGCGGCCTGGAACACATCCTTCTCTCAGAGCCCTCAGAAGGAACCAGTCCTGCCCATACCATTTTGGACTTGCAGCCTCCAGAACAGGGAGACAGTCAATTTCTGTTGTTTAAGCCACTCAGTTTGTGATTCTTTGTTATAGCACTCCTAGCAAAGTAACATAACTATTTTTAGTATTTCAAAAATATAAATAAAATTCTGATTTTTCCAAGATAAGACTGCTGAAACTAACAACAATAACAAACCTTAAATGTCATTGTTTCAGTGGAATTATTTTCATTTGGTGGAGTAACAGGGTTTTTACCTGCTACTTAGCTCTGTCTGGCATGGAAAATGAATGCATTATTTCACTTCCAATTTAATTTGTTTAACAAAAGTACCATAAAATATAGGGTCCACAAGGAAAATGATAAAAAAAATAATATTGAATGATGACAGCTGTGAATCACGTATTTACATATTCTGGAAAAGAAAGAAACAGAAAAAAAATCCCACAATATCCATGCTGTTTTTTGCTGTTTACAATACAAAGTCCCCATTACATAGGAGGGAAATACAAAAGAAAACAGATCCAAATCTTATATTCTAAGATCCAGGTGGGATTTGAGAGATGATCTCTAGTCTAATTTCCTCAGCTTATGTATGAAAAATATGAGTCCTAGAAATGTTAAGGTGACAGGCATAATTTTGTTTCCAATACACAGTAACACAAATTCTGAGTTGTCTAATGAGGTTTAACGATAACATTAGAAGAAATGATGAAAAACGCTATTCTTTGAATCTTTCTCCTTGTATTAGCCTGGTGATAATAAGTAGACATAAATAATCTTGAGTCATAACTACCCAGAGAGAAAGGTGTAGAGTTAAGTATGTGGACGATGACAGGTGGGAAGAGAGATGAGACAGAATAGAATGAGACACATCTTGGGGGGAGACCCCTGGATTTTGATGGACTCATGCCGTTGCTAGGAGTCATTTTTGCATAATTTTTTCACAACACTTTGGAGTGACACAGAGGTATGTTTGAATCCAGGCTCTGATATTTAGAAGGCATGTGACCACGGTCAAGTTTCCTACCTAGAACACTGGTTTCTTTACATACCTTGTATAGTAAATTTGTCAGACATGCTATTTTTGAATGTGTTTAGTGATAGTAGAAATCCAGTACATGGTGGTCTTATTACTAGTAATTTTCCTAATGAAGTTCAGAATTTCTTGCTTTTGTGTCTCATTAGAAACCCTTTCTCTCATCATCTCCACATGTAGATGTCCCCAGTCCTTGAAAAGCCCGGTTTGAATGTCAACCCCTTTCCTTCAATCAGATCACATACTTTCTATCATCCAGTTTTGTATGTTCATGTAGTTTTCGGGTTCAAGGTTTTATCTCCTTAACTTGCATTTCTTGTGGAACAGTGGGAAGCACAGTGAGAATTGAGATTTGAACTCTACCAGCCACTCAGTCAGGGAGGTAGAACCACTGAGGGTAATGGAGTAAGAGTGTATTATGGGAGCAAGAGCTTCCACAATTGTGCAGGAAGTTATTTTCCAGAAGGAGGAATTGAAAGATGTGAGAAATTCTCTACCAGATCCCAGGAGGCCTTTGTGTGGATGGACAGGTTGAAGCTTACAGGGGAGTCCGGTAAGCCAGGCACAGATGGTGCTGGAGGGGGCCATGACAGAAAGCTGGTAGAGAGGTCATTGGAAGCTGTGGTCTTTGCATAGCACTGCCTTTTAGGTCCACATTCAGGTTTCCGTGATGAGTGTGGGGCTATTGTTGCTCAGCAGGGCTGGGGATTTGGAAGGAAATCTGGATTCTGAGTGTGGGAGAGCGAGAACATGCTAGAACTTTCCAGGACTGTGTGTCACATCACAACAAACTACAAAGGCCTTCAGAGAAGAATAAGAGCTGGCTCACTCTTTTTCCCAGTGTTGCACAAATTCCTCCTTTGGCCAACTCTACTCACTGGCATACAGGAAAATGTAGTTCCAACTAATCAAGTTGGCACAGTACAAACCATCACAGCCACTATTGGTGACGTGGGTTGTACTGAGCAGTTTGCTTAACCTTTCTGATCCCCTTCTTCCCTGTTGGTATATCGACATAAAAGAGAGAACAATTATAACTACCTTTGCAGAGTTTTAGTAAGGATTGAATGAAATAATAATGTAAACAATGTGTTACAAAAAATAAAAATCGTGTTGTTGTTATTATACACACCATCATTTAGTTAACTTGCATCTACTGTGGGCCCAACTGTACTCTACCTGATAGACATAGCTGTGAACTAAATAGACAATGTATCTGTTATTATGAAACTAAATCAGACACCAATCAGATATTCATATAGAGATGTGAAGTAGGCAATTGGCTGACTGGATTTCAGGGGATGGGTTAGGTTAAAAGTACACATTTGAGAGTTACTAGTATTTAAGTATCTTTTAAAGGTATGCGTCTGAATTAGCTCACCTAGAGAGTGCACATAAATTGTGAAGATAAAAAGAGGCCCAAAAGTTGAGATCAGAGGCATTCCCAAAATTTAGGGATAAAAAAAATAAAGAGGAACAAGCAATGAGGCTGAGGAAGAACCGCCAGTATGTAGAAGGAAAATAATAAAGATTGGTGTCCTGATAGCCAAATGTAGAAGGCTTCCCAGAAGGTGCGAGAGATTGACTTTAACTTCTGCTGAAAAGTCAGTTCGTATGATAATTAAGAATGGACCATTGATTACCAACATGAAGGTCATTGCCAGGATGGAAGAGGTTAAAGTCAGAATGAGAGGAGAGGTAGTTTTCCTGGAGTGAAAGAAAATTTTTGGTTGTAAAACGGGGCAGTAATAAATGGAAAGTATATCAAGGGAAATTTTCTATACATATATTCTATATGTAGATATAATATCATATCTATGTGATGGATGTATCCCTGTGCAGCAGGGCATTTTTTTTACACATGATGCATACAATATTGGGTTGTCAGAAAAGTTCTGACATATTTTTTCTCTGTTTTTCATTGCAGAAATGCATCATGACTTTTCTGACAACGCAATATATAAAGTTGGTTTTAGTCTGTTAGTTTGTTGATTGATGGGAATGATCCGTTAGTGCTGAACTGGGGTAGGGCCGCCTAAGGCATAGAGCCTCTAGCTAGAGATACAAAGAAAACCTGCTTCCTTCAAGCAGTTCCTCCTTCGGAGGGAATGGTCAAACTGAGCAAGCACACCCAGTTATTCTTTCCAAATTTACTAATCCAATTCACATCAACTCCCCAGGAGTAGATTGTGCAAAGGGGGAGAGAAGGGCTGAAGGGGAGGAGGTGGTTTTTGGCTAGACCAAGAATGTTCAGGAAATATTCTGAGAAGTTGAAAAAAATGGCAATTTTGCTGCAAAAGACCATAGTTTCCAGGGCACACAATGGAAATATTTTAGGAATTGGGAAAGAGTGGGAGATGGGTCAGACAAGGGTGTGTGTAAAGGAGTTTGGGATAGTAATCCTTTTGCTATAGTATGTAGAATAGAGGATAGGTGCTTTTGAGTGAAACCTGACAGCGCCTGGGTGGGGCTGGAGAAATGCGTTGGTCCTGGATTCCAGTGTTTGGTTGGAATAGCGGTCCTGTCCAGGGAGCCAGCTCTCTTCTGGTTAGACCTGGGGCTTAAGAGGGGGCTGGCTTCCTTATCTTCTGTCTCTCTTTTCCCCACAGCTGGCCCAGCTGAGGAAGGAGAACTTCAGAAATTTAAAGCTTCCTAACCCTGCCGCCGAAAGCCAGACACAAAAGCTCCTTTACTGTCACGAGAACAAAACTGATTCTTCTCCATCATGTCATTGTCATCCTTACAGAAGAATGAGTGACAGCCACCTGGAGGATAATTCTGGGGGACCAGCACCCCAGGCCCTCTCTGAAAATTGCCAGAGGAGGAGAGCAGTGGGTTAGAGGAAAGTTCCTCTGAGCACCTTCTGTCAAAGGGAGAAACCGGGCATTGGGGATGGCCCTTCCAATTCACAGGTGGCAAGATTTTTCACCGCAAGTTGGCAGCCTCCAAATCACTTCCCGTTTCTCCAACTTGGGAGGGAGCTGAATGACTCATTTCATCCTGGCCGTTTCTTTCACTCCTAGGACGTCTCAATCGCTCGGCCCTCTCGTTATTTGAGTCTGACGGTAATCAGTCAACTGCTCCTCTCGTGCCGCCAGCGCAGTCGTCAGGCACGTGATGAAACCTGCTGGCGGCCCTGGGCTCCATCCACCCACCCACTCCCCCGTCCGTCGCCCTTCCTCCCTTCCGGCTTGCACGCTGCCCGCAGCTCGGCTCTCCAGGCCGCCAGCGGCGCGTGCACCCGGGCGGGCGGGCTCGCCTGGGCCGGGGCGAGAGGGCAGGGAGGCGCGGGAGGCCCCGGCAGGGCGGCCACGCCGAGCCGAGCTCCTCCGAGCCGCCGGCACCTCTGGAAGCCCCGGCCCCACGTGACTGTCCCCTCCTCCGTCCTCCTCCCAGTCGCGCGCACGGGCCGGGCTGCTCGGCTCCCGCGCGCGCTCGGCTGGTCCCAGCGCCCAGCAGGAGAAGCGGAGGAGGGAGCGAGCCAGCCGGGCGGCCAGGGGAGCGGGCGCGAGCGGCAGGCTGCCGGAGCCGCCCGTGCACGGCGGCGGCGAGGGTGGCGGTCGCCTGAGCGGCGGGAGCGGGAGCGGCGTGGGTTCCGCATCCGCCAAGTGTGATGAAGCTGTCCCACTCCGCTGCTCCGCTCGCCGCCAGCTGACACCGCCTGCACTCCAGCCAGCCCGGGAAGGGAGCCGCCGCGGGGCCGTGACCTTGGCCAAGGAGGTAAATAGGGGAGGTGGGAAGGGAGGAGGCGGCGCCACTCCAGCCCTCCGGGCCCCCGCCCCGCACCCAAGCTTCGCCCCGAGCTGCGCGGCCACTCCCGGGAGCCCCGCGCCCCGCGCCCCGGCGGGGCTGTGGGCGCAGCGCGCACGCCGCGGTCCACGGTGCTGAAACTGCTGCCCGGCTCCGGCGGCGGCCGCGGCGCGGGGCACAGGCTCGCCTGCCATTTGCCGCTGCCGTGAGAACCGAGCCAGGGAGCTGGGGCTCGCTTGTTTTCTTCTCTTTGGCTGGTCCCCCCCCCCCGAGGCTCCTCAGTTAGGTTGCTACCCACGGTGACCAAGGTAATTGCCTGAAGGGTTGAACTCCCACCAGCTCTTGTTGCCGAGATTCTGGTGCCTTCTTGCAAAGATTGGGCAGGATTGCGTCCTGACTTCCGAAGCCAAGTGGGGAGAGAGGACAGGACCCAGTGGCTGGCAGCGCGGGCAGGGGAAAGTAGCAGAGGCTACCCGGGCTCTGTGTGTGTGTGTGTGTGTGTGTGTGTGTGTGTGTGTGTGTGTGTGTGTGTGTGTGTGTGTCCCAGGGGAATAGAGACCAGCGCGAGGAGTGGGCATCGCTGACGCGGCTGCATGTGGGGAAACTAGACAGACACCTGGGAAAAGTGTGCTGCACAGGGAGTTGCCCTTTTGGGAAAACATCAGATGGACATACAAACACTGGGAGAGAAGAGAATTCTCTGTAGTATGAAAATGGTAACCGTGGGGCTTTTTTTTTTCTCCTTCGGGTGAACACCACACACTTTTTAATATGAGCATTCAGAAAATCAATGCAATTGAAAAGCATAGCCAAATGACTATTTTAGCTAAAAAGTTGTCATTTCTCACAGTTCCCTGGGGGGTACTATAGGTCTAAATTCAGTTAAAAATAAACCTATTCCGGCGCCACTTCCTCCAGCCAGCCCCAGCCTGTAAGCACACTGGCTCCACGTGAGGTGGGTGTTGTGGATAGTAAAGGCGAGTCAAGAGAATGAGCCCCCTTCCCCACGACCATTCGGACCTCACTGAAGTCCCTCTCACCCTTTGCAGCGCAGACTGTAATTCCTGTACCCCGGAGCGAACCAAGTGTGGGTGACATGGCCCAAGGGAATAATTATGGTCAGGCCAGCAACGGGGTGGCAGACGAATCCCCTAACATGCTGGTGTACAGAAAGGTAAGAATTTCTTCACTTTCTTGGAAAAAGGGGAAACTTCTGGCTTTCTTGATTCCCCCCCCCTCCCCCAAATCAAAGTATATTGTCAAGTTTCTGGCCTCGTGGATTCCCCAAATCACCCATGACTGCACCCCACACTTGAGGACCATCTGATATTCCCAAGTGTGCAAATACAGTGCAGAGGTGAGGCTGGCCAGCTCTGCACTCACACTTCTGGCCGAGTTGACAGAGTTTAACCTGCGGTCAGCAACAGCAGCAAGTTGGAACATCCCACATGTTTTGTTTGTTACGCAGGTGATTTTAGAGCATCCTCAGTAATTTTTAGAAGCGTTTCCTTGTACTATCCCGAAGCATTTAGGTTGTAATAATAATATAGATGTATAACATTAGAAATGAAAATAGACCACTTTGCAGTTTTGTGGCAAGAGTGAATGTGTCTGTGACTGTCTGGGTGATTTAATGATTTTGCTCCCAACAAAACAATTCTAATTCTTGTGTTTTTTTTCATCTTAGCCTAAATTATTTTTTTACTTTGTGTTATTTTTATAACTCTGCTTATGGATATTTATGTTCTAGTGCCGTATGCCCATTCAATACATCTTTATATTCCAGAGGTTTTGCTTTTGTTTTTGTTTTTTGTTTTTTTTGCACAAACTGGTCTGGCAGCTTTATGCATTTTGCAACAAGACTATCAGCAACAAACTCGTAGATATTGAGCCATTATAATAAAGATACATTTGAATATTGTGCATACTTCAAAGTGGTTGCTTAGGTAACTTCATTCTGGTTACAATCAACAATATTACTAAAATTAAGGAAACAGTATTGTTTATTTAACTTTTGCACCAGTCATTTCTATTGCATTGTATGCTGGGATTAGTTTTTCTTTAGCATATTATCTGCGGTGCTTATTGAGCAAGATTTCTTTTGTTACCATTAGCAACGGTAAAAAGGAAATTGTACCTTGAAACCAAGAAAAAATTTAAAGACTTGGATTAGCGTGAGGCCGTGGAACAGTCAGGATGAGTTTGCATTTGTTCTTGCAGCCAGAGGATCAGGACTGGTTATGAACAAAGATGAAAAGCAGTGTGCCACCTTGACCTGTAATTAGTCAAAACTTTCCCTATATGTGGCCCAGGATCTTTAAAAGGTGGTGCTGAATATGTGTGTGAGGGAATGTTGCTATTGTTTTAACGTGAAGACGCACGGGCTTCTTGTCCCAGTGCTAGCTGTTTATTTCTCTAGCCTTACGACAGTGCTATATCGTGTACCTGTGAATGCAGTTTAATGTATGTCTGGGACAACACAGTATGATGGGGCAAAAAAAGCATATTAGTTGCCTGTTTTAGTCTTAAAGCATCCCAACTGGATAAAGCAAGAAAATAACCCTCTTGAGCCTAAATTATTACTATTGTATTTCTACATTGATTGAAATACCTGGATATTTGCTCGTTCTGTATAGAGTTGGTTCTGAGAAGAACTGTTTGGGGGCAGTTGTGTGTTTTAAAATCATTTATGATTTTTAAAAATTGTTTGGTATGACTGAATTTTGTAATAGACAAGAAACAATCCAGATGTGAGAATTATGAATTCTATCTTATAGGTGTGTGTAATGTGGAGAGTTGGACTTGGATGTAAAATTACAGTAGCCAGCTACTTTTGTTAGGCTAAATACTACATCCTCTCTCTGTTTACTCATAAAAGATTGGGCTTGAATTGATCAGACACCTAATTTATCTTGATTAGAAATAAACTTAACATGGAATCAATTTATGTGTCTTATTTAGCCAATTATCATTAGAATAAATTTTTAAAAAGTGAGGAGTTTTAGAAATAGTTACTGGATTATTTAGCATCTGAGCTTTCATGTTGATCATTTTCATCTTACTGTATAAAATGTATAGCATCAATTGCTATTAGTGCTGCTTGTAAACTAATAGCCTCTGACGACTTTAGGGAGAGAATATAATGCCTCATTCTTTTAAACATTACTATTTTGTTGGTTAAGCTTAGAACTGCTTGTGCTACTTATTTTGACCTCCTTTCATTAGCTCTTTGTTTAGGGTTAATGACACATATAACTTATTTTTAGAAAAGATTTCCTTGATAAATCATTATTGGAAAAAATAACTTAGTCCAGCAAATTTTTCTCAAAACGCTTAACTATGGATTGCCTGTTTATTCTTTTACTCTCTAAGCATATACTGTTTGTTTTGTTTGTGATATAAATAATAACGTATAAATAAGCAGCACGTAATTCATATAAACAAACAGTGTCCTTGGTTATCATTTGCTGGTTACCAAGTCAAATGGTCCATGTCCGTGTGCACATACAATATGACAACATGGATTTCATGTGAGCATTTTGCCTCTGTGTTTTCTTTGGGCTTTACACCCAATATCTTCTTAGTAGAGGCCAAATTTTAATGCGAAGAACAGCAAAGTAGTTGGAGAGGGGTATGGGTTGAATAGGTGTATTAGGATAGTTCCACTGCTCCACCTGCATAAAAAAATTAAGCACTATGTTACAAATGCCAGTTAATCATGAAGTCAATCGAAGATTTAGAAAAGAACTTCAGTCCTGTAGTACATTATTCAATCACAGTGGAGAGACTGGATAGAAAAATTGCTGTTTTTACTGATTCATGACAATTTTCCACTTCTACTTCACTGTTGAAACAGTTGTTGCAAGTGGGTTCTGAATTGAACGATTTCTCCTCCCCACCGAAAGCCACCTCTCTACTTCCAGGATTCTGATAATTGACACACATTAAAGCTACGTGTATGCTGTTTCCATTTTCTCTTGATAGGCTATGAATGGCACTTAGAAATTCCTAAGAGGGATAGGAAACGGTGAATGGTTACCAAAGTGGAATACACAGAAAGGAGCTGGGATGTGTGAATTTCTTCTGTTCCTCTGATACCTCTCTCCATTTTGATGATAATCATATGATTATATTTCCTCCAAATAATGGGAAAATTCCATGGACTTTTTTTTCATAAAGAATTCCATAGTGACGTTATGGAAAAAAAAAAAGTACAGTTGGTAGAACTATATGACACGCCAGGCAGAGCGAGTGCCACCGTGGTGAAGGGTACAGGGAATGGTAATTCTGCCTCACAATCGGGATTGGCACCTGTGAGTCAGTCTCAGATGTTTGCCGGTAGCTTTTTGATTTAATATGAAGAATCTCTGCAGGCTTTATCTGAGGTCAGAGGTGTATTTTAAAAAATCCATATGGACAAAATTTGCCTTACCAATTTTCTGATTTACGATGCTGCTATTTTTTTTGTTTTTTTTTTAAAGCAAGTGATTGAGTTAGAGTGGTTATGCCATTTAGGTGCTTGAGAACACCTTATTTAAAAGCTCATAAAATATGAGGCTTGACCACTATTATTCCTGGGGCTTCCGAGGCTCCCTTAGGACAGGCCTTAATGAGAATGAAATTTGAAGTAATTAACTTCCTTAAGATTAGATCCACCTAGCTCCAACACACCTTGGATTCAGACTAACTTCCTGAAACGTTTGTAGAAGTGACAGTTCAGAATTCAGTTTTGCGTTGGGTTGTGGGCTCAAACACTACCCTAATGCTTCGTCTGCTTTGGGCAGAACCGTCATTCCTGGGAGTGGCTCTGTCTGTAACGGATGGCTGAGCTACAACCCAGGGTACAGGGAGGCACATTTCAAATTTGCTGTCTGGCCGACATACTGCCCACTAGACAGTATACATCACTCTTTGTCCGGAGGCTGACATTCCCGCATTTGAAAAAACAAAATATCTAGGACACCTTGGGGCCAGTATTTTAAATTGGCTGGCATGCTGGCTTCTTACGAGCGAGAATGCTCAAAATGACCTATAACTTCTGACATTATTGCAACAACCACTTATGCTCCAGCTGTCATAAAAGACAATGGAAATGTTTTCCTCATTCGCTGTCTTAGTGGAATGAGCATGTTTTCGGGGATAATAAACCTGTGACGTTCAATATGCCTCTCCCCTCCCCTCACCTTTCTCCTTACCCACTCACTCTCCTCTCCTCTCTCTTCATCTTTCTTCCATTTTGTTTTTTCTTCTCAAAACAGACCTAAGAGTGGAGATGTAAGTTTTCCTTAAGATGCTACTCATTTTAGTTGTAGAAGAGAAAACTGTGTCCTTTGGAAAAGAGAGTGATATCGGCCTTGTTTGAGGACCTGCTATGCATAGCCCCTCAGATAGGTGCTTTTAAGATTGGCACCATGTGTGCTGTGGGGTCCCATATGTTGCTGCATATGAGGTAGTGGCAACAGGTTACCCTTTAAGGATTCAGACTGCACTGTTTTTAAGGATCCAGATGGAATCAGTGGCCTTTCTTACATGGAAGCCCAGAGGGAACTGTCACTCCAGTAGGAAGATCACCTACGCTGATGGGCTTGACCTTGATATTGTCTTTGAAATCTATTTCTGAGGTCAGCCTGTTCTGTGAAAACAGACACCCTTGCAAGAAAGGGGAGCGAATTATTTCCTCTTTGGAAAAGACTGAGCTGTGGACGTTACTACTCTCCTAGTAGTGCACTGGATGACATTTTCCCACTTAAATCCAGTGCATTTGTTTCTTCAGTTTTGTCCAATCTGGTCAATCAAGAGGCTGTTAATATCCCCCCATCAAACACCATTATAAGAAATGACCTTTCACATTTTGAGCCTTAGTTTACTTTGATCTGTCTGGGTTTAGGGTGTTAGTAGAGTGAGGAATATTTATAGGTGATAACAAGAGAAAATCCCATTAGAAAACCAAGGAATGGATTTTGATGTGTTACCTGAAAAGCATTGTCAAATAAGAAGTGATGCTAAACCTTCTTTAGGTTGTATTTGTATGAGTATATGTTATTAATATAAGTGTTCCAGAAATTGTATAAAATTCGATATGTAATCACATCAGTCGTAATTTCAGTTATCTTAAAATGTTGTGTGTCACAGAAATCAGCAAATTTTCTTGTCAATAGCATGATAATAAACTCT